GTTTGATTCCTCAGCACCACATAAGCAGAAAAAGCTGGAAGTGGCGCTGTGGCTCAAGTGGTAGAGCGCTAGCCTTGAGCTGAAGAGCTGAGGGACAGCATCCAGGCCCAGAGTTCAGACCACGACTGGACCCCCTCCCCCCCAAAAAAAAAAGTCTCATGGACTTTCCTGTCCAGGCTGGCTTTGAACTGTGATCCTCAGATCTCAGCCTCCTGAGTAGCTAGGATTATAGGCATGAGCCACTGGCATCTGGCAATCTTGATTTGACTTTTTTTTGCCTAATTACCCACTCATAGGTTGTGCCCATTGTGTTGTTACTGTACTTCGTGGTTTTAATGATTTATTTCAGAGCCATCTGAGTTTTTTTTTAATTTATTTTTTATTATGTTTATTTTAATGAAAAAAGTCCGGTCATGGGGCCTGAACTCTGGGCCTGGGCGCTGTCCCTCAGCTCTTCAGCTCGAGGCTAGCGCTCTACCACTTGAGCCACAGCGCCACTTCCGGCTTTTTTCCTTTTGCTTCTGTGGTGCTGAGGAATCGAACCCAGGGCCTCAGGCATGCAAGGCAAGTGCTCTACCACTGAGCCACCTTCCCAGCCCCAGCCATCTGAGTTTTGTATTTGGCAGCATGGAGATTTGAATTCAGGGCCTCATGCTTACTCAGTTTGATCACTTAGCTGGCGCTTACCTCTTTTCTTTTTGGTCGTAGGGCTTGAACTCAGGACCTGGACACTGTCCCTGAGCTCCTTTTTGCTCAAGGCTAGCCCTCTACCACTTTGAGCCACAGTTCCCCTCCTGGCTTTTTCTGTGGTTAATTGGAGATAAGAATTTCACAGACTTTCCTGTCCAGGCTAGCTTCCAACTGCGATCCTCCAATCTCAGCCTTCTGAGTAGCTAGAATGACAGGCATGAGCCACCAGTGTGCCCAGCTTAACAATGCAATGCAAGAGTCGGATGCTAGTTTCCTAGCTCCTCTTCCGTAGCTGAGGTTCAGTCTGATCAAACTGAATGACCCCAAACTCTTAAGCCTGTTAGGAAAATGCAGGCACAAGTTGGGGGGGAGACCAGAGGTCAGTCCTCAGGCCAGGTACCCAAATACTTTCTGTACCCATTGCCCACACCAGTCTTCGTTTCCTCCCTGAAAGGCATGCTGAACAGATCAACAGATGCCCACACCCACTTGGGCACAGTCCGTAGTGGATAGCTCCTCCCCACACCTCCCTGTGGTCCACAACCAGAGAACAGAAACAGGGCCTGGGGCTTGGGGAGTGGTCCCGGGCAGGGCAGGTTCCTTCTCCAGGCAGAGGGCCAGCTTCCTTTTCTAGAGTTGGGGCAGGAAAACTGATGACAAGGCAGTAAGGTCAGTTGGACCAAAGTGGGATTGGAGGACTGAGGCCTTACCCTCCCTCACGGTCCCCCTCTCCTACCTTCTTGGATCTCCTCCGGCATGGTGAGTGGTGGGCAGTCGGGGCTGATGAAGGTACCCAGTAGCAGGAATGGACAAAAGCAGCGGTGGCTCCTCTGGGAGCCTGAAGAAAGCCCTGGCTGCTTCCCAAACTGGACCTCAAATAGGCCTGAGCTCATCCCCAGGGCTATATTTAGAGAGAGGCCACTCAGCTACGAGAAGGGGACAGACCGACCCACGTGGGGCAGCTTAGACTTCATGCCATGAGTTCTGCCAAGAGCAGTGCCCAGATGCCCGGCCATCTCGAGCAACCATGCACGCATGGGTTTTGGATCCTTCATCTAGAACAGGCACTGGGGAGGGGCAGGGGGGAGATGGTAGGCCCACTGCTAATACCATGAAGTGGGCCAATTAGGGTTAAAAGGTATTTTGGCTGGATGAAACTTGCTGGTGGCTTACACCTGTAATCCTAGCTATTCAGGAGGAGGCTGAGATCTGAGGAACAGGGTTTGAAGCCAGCCCAGGAAGGAAAGTTCATGAGACCTTACTTCCAATGAAATACCAGAAAATGAAGTGGGGCTGTGGCTCAAAAAGCTCTAGCCTTGAGCAAAAAAAGCTCAGGGACAGCGCCCAGACCCTGATATCAAACCCCATGACTGACAAGGAAAAAGAAAAGAAAAAAAAAATGAAGATAGTATTTTTTTGTGTGTGTGCTGGGACCTTGAACGCAGGGCCTGAGCACTCTTTTAGCTTTTTTGCTCAAGGTTGGCTCTCTACCACTGGAGACACAACTCTACTTAGAGCTTTTTGGTAATTAATTTGGCCTAAGAGTCTTATGGGCTTTCCTGCCCAGGCTAGGTTTTTTAATTTTTTTGGTTAGGCATGGGGCTTGAACTCTGGGCCTAGGCGCTGTCCCTCCGCAGTCCAGCTCAAACCTAGTGCTCTACCACTTGAGCACCACTTCTGGTTTTCTGGTGATTTATTAGAGATAAGAGTCTCAAGGACTTTCCTGCCTGTGCTGGCTTTGAACCCCGATCCTCAGATCTCAGCCTCCTGAGTAGCTAGGATGACAGGCGTGAGCCACCAGTGCTGGCTGCCAAGTTTTTGTTGGTTTTTTGGTCAGTCGTGGGGCTTGAACTCGGCCTGGGTGCTATCCCTGAGCTCTTCAGCTCAAGGCTACCTGAACCACAGCACCACTTCAGGCTGAGGAATCAAACCCAGGGCCTCATGCATGCAAGGCAAGTGCTCTACCACTGAGCCACCCACCTTCCCAGCTCTGGGCTTGTTTTCTTAACACTCTGCCCTTAGGCGATGTTATGGAGAATTTTAGAATCCCCAAAGCTCCTGCTCCCCTCTCCCCCCCCAACCCCCAGAACCTGCTTGGTTTTCCCCCCCTGGACCAGCCCTGAGACCACACGGCACTGAGACCACACAGCGAAGTCTTAGGAGTCGCGGCTGCTTGCTGGGGCCATTCCAGCAATGGCTGATAATGTTGTTTATTGATTCATTGCATTATTTTTAGTGCCTCCGGCCTGCCTCGCCCCTTGCCCAGCCCCTTCACAACTTTCTTCTGCACAGCTGCTTAAGGAGAAAGAAGGACCCCTTTCTCCTGCAGGGTGGACACCCAGATCAGGTCTGTGGCCTGAGGGGTGACGGCTGTGGAGCCCCCCCCCCCACAGGCCCCATTTTTCCGTCTTCACTGGATCCGGGGCCGGGCGGGGGGGGGGGCGCGCGCTGCCCTTTTAGGGCTACATTCAAGGGTTATCCTGTTAATAAATAAGCCGGCTGCAGCCGCCCCCTCTCGGCCAGGGCCTGTCAGGTGCCATCACCCTCCGTCCGGGCACCCCCCAAAGTGCCAGCCCCAAGGACACACATGCACCATCAGTCTTGGCTGCAGTCTCCCCTCCTGGCCGGCTCTGCGGCGCCGCAGTCCACCGCCATCACCACGGGGTGGCGCTGCGGGGTCCCCGCTCCGCGCGCGGCTCCGAGGCACGCATGCG